AATTCTTCATGTTTTATAAGTTTTAATGATAACAAACATTACATTTTTAGTAAAAAAAATGTGTTGTAAAAGTTGTTGTTTCAGACTGAGTAAGACGAAGTAGCATCAATAACACAAAGCTGATAGATGAAGCATACAAACCTTTTCTAACGATCATTATTTATTATGATTGATGAGTTTAAATGTTCAAATGAATGCTTTATACCTTAACAGATTGAAAGTTGTTGTCTTGGAACTCACAATTTGTTAAAAGTGTATAAAAGCGTGAAGAGTAGCAAAATAAAGGACAAAGATCCCGAATTTCACATAAATGCATTGAAAAAGGACTAAATTTTCGTCTACACACTGACTTTGCTTCCTGTTGTTTCAGCTTAGCTACTCTGCTTTGATAATTAGCTTGATCTATCAAAAATAAGGAGTATGTTTAGGTAAAATGCATTAATTGAAGCATTTAATGCACTAACGGATACTTCTTCTCTCTAAAGATTGGACAAAGGAGTAAGACAAAACAATTCTTTGAATCAGACTCAAGAAGTTGCAATGGTTATCTTTTTCAAAGTTACTATATAAGAAACTCTAAAACTCAGAAAAAGACAAAGAAGCACATATAGAGAACATAAGTGTAAATATAGAAAAATAATTTGTGTTCATCTCTTAGAAAATCTAATTCAAGAGCCTTTTGTACTAAAACAATTTGTTATAATCATCTCTAAAAGATGCGACAATTGAACCTTGTAATACTTTCATAACTATTGTTATAAGGTAAAGCCTAGAGAGGCTTGATCGTAAAATACTTGGGTTTGAGTCTAGAGAGGCTTGTTTAAAAAAGAATATTTGAGTTTGAGCCTCGAGAGGCTTATTTGTAAAAGAATATTTGGGTAATGACTTGAAAAGACCCATCAAAGAACACTTGTTGAGCCAAAAGTAGATTAGTAAAAGAATATTTATAACTTTGCTAAAAGTTAGTGAAACTCAATCTGGTTAGATTGAAAATTGGACGTAGCCTTGGTGGTTCTAAGCCAATATGAAAACACTATATTTTATTGATTACTCTTATGGACCCTTCGTTTGTTGTAGATACTACTTCACGAATTTGAAAACGTTCAAATTTTTAATATATACTATTCAAATCCTCCTTTTACTGTCTATCTTTTCTCCACAACTATAAAGGCTAAAAAATAATTTATGAAGTTATAGAAACTAAGACCATGTTTAGGAATTATTATTTTTTCATTATTCCAATTGTTTTAAAATAAAAAAAATATTTTAAAAAAAAACAAGTTGTTTGAGACAACAGTTTAATTTTGTAAAAGACTTATTGTTCTCTTTAATCTAAAATATTGAATTTTTTGATTTTTTTCAATAGCTTTTCTTCTCCTACAACTGAATTACTATATAAAGCTGATTTTTTATTATATCAAAATAAAATTAAACATTCCAAAAAAAAATTCAAAAAAGTTATCTAAACAAAAATTTATTATAATTATAATCAACTATAACAATAATTGATTATATATAATCAATTATTAAAATAATCTAATTTCCACACCTTTCTAATACACACTTTAAAAGGGTAATTAAATCTTGAATATTTATGCTTCTTTTTAAGTTAGTTTTGAATCAATTTATTCCTTTATTTATGTTTTGAGATCCAATTATATTCTTTCTTTTCTTTGAACCTTTTACTTGTTCAATTGTTCATTTTCTTTGCTTGCTTGGTTTATTTTTATTGTTAGACTTTCTTTATTCTATTATACATCAAATTGTATGTATTATTCTTAGAAAGTTTTAGACTACTCTACGTACAATCCTTCTACAATTTTTTTTTCTGCAAGATTCTATGGTCCTTTGGTAGAACATGAGAAATATCTTGAACTTTTTATCTCAATATTTTAGAACTAAAATATCAATTTGTTATTAGAGATTGATGAGATTTATGTTCATTCTCTAAAAAGTTTTTCATAGAAAATAATTTAAGTTTTTTTTTAAAGTGTATAATTTTTTATTAATATTTGAAAAATGACTAAAATACCGTACCTAAACAACATAAATTAGTTTCAATTGGATTGTTTGATTTAAGTTAATTATTCAAAATTATTTTAACTCAAAACCAACCTATTAAATTTTAATCAACGTAAATACATATTTCACTTAATCTTGGATTAGCCCAACGCACAAAACTAGCAAATAGTTAGGTGTCGCAAAAATTCTAATTTCATGGTTATAGAATAAGCAACTTCTAATTACGTACGTAAGCAAATTAATTCCAGCTTTCTTGTGTATTTATATGAAATCTAAACTTCAATATTTATGGGTTTAGAGATTAATCTGAACTTCATTTTGTTAGCATCAAACGTGCAGCCTAATAAAATCATTATCAATTCCCATCTCGTGCATTGGATAACATTACTTGGAAAAAATGTATCCATATGACCTAAATATGTTTAGTCTAAATATGAAGTAAATTACTATTTAATTCTTTGAATTTAAAATTATTTTTTTTAATTCTTGTAGTTTAAATAAATCTTATTTTAGTCTCTCAATTTAAATGCCATTGACAAATATTTCAAATAGTGTTACACAAAATCAATCTACTACTATTCTTATTAATAAAAATATTAGATTAAATCTAATTGATATTTTACAACTTTTCAATTTGTCATTGTTAGTTATGCTACTTATGATTTAAGAGATTAAAGCAAAATTTTTTAAAATTATAAAATTAATTTCAAATTTTAAGACCTAAAAATATATTTACCTTAAATTTAAAAAATTAAAAATATATTTAAGACCATTGACGGATCCACATATAGTATTGTGGGAGCACTTGCCCCCACTATCATTTGATACATACATACATATTTTTTATTAAAAATTAATATATTTAAAAAAATAAAAATTATATTTTAATAAAATATATATATATTTAAATTATTGTATGTATAAAATATAAATTT